TTAGACAGCAGCACTATAACCTCTCCTGTTCCTACACTTAACTCCTAGCCCCTTACTATCCTAACTACCCTCTTAACCTTAAGCGCTCTTAACATAAGGCCCTTATATATAGTAACTATATACCCTAGAAGATTAACTATTATATAATTATCCTTCTTAAGGGCTAATACTAACTTAAGGGTTATAGCAAAGTCAGTAAGCGTTACTAAAACTAAGTCTAATAGTAATTAAAACAACTTAGGCCGCTAATTAACCTGTTATACGGCTAGCCTAGAAAGACTATCTTCATCAGCTAGGCGCCAGCCCTAGGATCCCCACTAAAGCTTAACCCACCAGAGCGCAACTATCTACATAGACTCTAAGTGCTCCTTATAAAGAGTAATAGTGTAGGACATAGGCGTCTTAGAGAGCTCCCTCTATAGCGTGCAGGTATATTAAAGGCGTAAAGGGCGTACCTAGCTGCCTCCTTAGTAAACCTAGCCTCCTTAGCACCAATTTCTAAAACAATAGATCTAATACAGGACTATAAATTATCTAAGGCCACAGAAAGCGACAATAGGCCACTACAGTGTCCTTACACCTTATCTAACATGACCTCTAGCGTGCTAATACTATGTTAAAGCCTAAGTGCGCCCCACTGCAGCAGGGCACCGCTACTCTAACAGGAATTACTAAAAGCTGCCTAATACTGTTATTTATATCAAAACTAAGGGGGAAGATACTTAGCGCCATAACATTTAGAATATTAGTGACAATTACAGCGTTATTACTACTAAGGATTCCTAACATGCCAGCCAGTTATACCTAGGGCGCTAAGCTACAAGCCGCCACCATACTTATAATTAAGTAGAGGTCAGTAAAGACAGTAGGGAGCTCTATAAACCATATCACCTAGGACTAGAAGTACAGAAAGAAAACCGTCAAGGTAATTATCAGGAGAACTATCACTACACAGAGGATAATAAAGAGAGGCAACAAAACAACAAGCCGCAAGAGGCTAAGTATCTTCAGCATGCAGACAGTAACGCCCTTAGACACAGCTTTTAGTCCTATAACAATGCCTCTAACCTACATATTTATTACTTCCCTAAATGTCTGCATTACTCTTTTAGGTACGCTTCCTGCATACTATACAGTTTTGTCTGCCTTCTAGCTGCCTGTACTCTTGTCTTACTACTACTACTGCTTCTATTTCTGCAATTTATTCTCCCTAGCCTTTTGCCATCTTAAGACATCTATAGCTTTTCTATCAGCAGCTCCAACGCTCAGGTCGTCGTCTAGGGTGGCTAAGTTCGTGGAGAAGGTGTACAGGGGATAGAATATAGATAAGCAGGCAGATAGATAGACACGTTAAAGAGAGTAAGCAGGGCAGGGCAGGACTTACAAGGATTATTAGGAATAATTAGGGTAAATAAATTAGGGGTAAGGGAGGGCTTAGATATAAGGCTAGCGCTACATAAGGTATTAGGCAAGAGATCACAGCTAGTAAAATACTCTATATTATAAAGCAGTCTTGTCTTACTAAACAAATTTCACCTAGACCCAAAAGCTTCTCCCCCCTATACCTCTCTTGTTTTCCTTCTCAGTAAAACACGTGTTCAGCCTATAATAGGACATAGCCGTTACAGGCATTTATCTAGATAACAGACCCTCTTCTGCTATAAATTACTAAGAAATAATATATAAAATAAGATATACAATAAAAAAAGATAATAGAAAATAACAAACATCACACTATTACACTACGCCTTCAGCATACCGCTTAAAACGCGCTAAAACACATCTAATACATTAGCGTATACAACTAGTAAGCCATCGCCCACACAGTATCTTCTGACCTTATAAGCATAGCTAGTGGTCAGAGAGCAGCAAATTAGTGCAAGTTTATTCTAAATACAAAACATCGCTAACTACATAACCAGGAGGATATAGATCATTACGATCGTTATTAACAAACTCTCCAAGAAAGGCCAAATTGTCCCAGGACAATCAGCAGACATAACAGACACATAGGGACAGCGCCTACAACATCACTTGCTTACAGCCAACTAATATAAATCTTTAGGTATACATATCCAAGATTATTTCTAGTCCCCTATAAGTCTATATATAAAACTAAACAGTTTACAGTAAGTACATGTTAGTAGAATAGCACAAGTCAAGTTTAAAAGCAGCATAAAGACAAAGTAAGGCTATTAGTAATAATAAATATAAGAGACTAATATAAATTATAAGGCCTTTATGTCTAAGACTATATATAAGTACCCTTCCTCCTAGTTAATATTTTACTTTAAAACCTAAATAGTATAGAATATATGTCTACGTCCTCATAAAGGCTTAGTAGAAAGCCATATAGTCACAGGCGTTAATCTTAATACTAATAACTTCTAATATAGCGCACTTAAGCCTCCCTAGCAAACCACGCACCTCCTCGTTACAGGCCTCCTACTCTTCCTTATGCTTGTCCTTGTCTAACAGACCATAGTTTAGAGGTCAACTAGTGCTGTCCCTACCTCTAGGTACACTAGTGTTTATATCTAGGTTAGAACCATGTTAACAAGGGCCACCTTATAGCCAGAGGCTAGGGCTTAGTGTAGCTAGGAGGGTAACATAAGAGGATTTAAGTTAGCTATATTTATTAGGACGATTACGTTTATCTCTATTACTAGGCTTACGTTAACCTAATTTTAGCTGTTACTAGGGATACCTAGTGGGAGGGCGGCAGTTATTACTAATATACAAAGCAGCGTTAAGTTAAACAGGGGAAGCAAGGAGGCCCTAGTGGCCGTTATTAGAAAGGTCTCTAGAACCTTAGCTTCTATTTGTATTATAATTATATAGTGGCATAGTAAGTAGGCTAGACGCAAAAGCTAGATATTTACTTAAAGATTAAGAAGCTATAAACAGAAGTAGTTAGGAGATTAATAAGTAGCCAAGAAAGAAGCTAGTCTTTTCTACTTATTTAAAATTTAAAGTAATAGGTAAACACAGTTAACTAAGAGAGGGACCTTATTAAGTTTAGTCTCTTAAGATTAAGGGGGTATAAGACATAATTTGCCTGTTTACCTATTAGGTAAGCACAAGCAGAATTATTTTACACTAGAAACATCTAGGCCGCAGTCTCTCTCTATCTTTTACACACACATATATACATATACACATAGACAGAAGCAATTTATTAATCTAAATTTATCTATTATCTTGTCCTATTAAAATCCTAGGTGTACTTCCTATTATTTAACTATAGAACAAGAATAATATTCCCTAGTAAGTTAAGTCTAAGTAGCTCTAGTGCCCCCTAAGACATTATAGCTAACCTCCTTTAAAGTATATCCAGGGCAACATAACGCTTTAGATACTAGTAAGACTAAGACGCTAGCCTATAATTAAGTAGGAAGAGTCTAATATTATCTAGATCTACGCCTATCTAGCTTACTATAACTAGCTAGATATAATTATAACAAGATCTATCTTAATAAGCTTATAAAAAGGCTTAGCCTTCTTTAAGACTTCTACTTTAATACCCTTGTCTACCCCCCCCCTTAGGGCTAAGATTAAACGCAAGTTCGACTGTCTAGCTAAAGAGGAGCACGTTACAGGGGATAACTGCAAATAGGGCCCTTACACACGGCAATAGGCCAAGCTAGGCTAGGCTAGTGATTAAAACAAACGTAGCCAGGATAACAACAGGGCCAAGGAGGTCAGAGATAAAGGCGTAAAGCCTATATAAGAGCTATCCTTTAAGCTAGGGCCAGACAATTCTATAAGTGTGCGTCTTACCAACAATAGCATCAACAGTAGCGTAGATCAAGACCCTATGTCCCTCTCGCCTCAGGCCAATAGTCTCTAGGAGAGCGGGGGGGGGGGGGGGGGGCAGGAGCATCATAAGTGCTTATAATTACGTCTTACGTCAGGATATTTCCTCTCTTAGCCAAGTAACTAAAGATTACTTTAATACCCTCTACCTTAACAGAAGGCGTCTAGATTTCCACCTATACTACCTTAAAAAGGCGTTAGCAAAAAGGTTAGTTTCTAGCATCAACCTGTCTAGACTTATCTTATCTACTATTAGCAGCAATAATAACAAAAAGACAACTTAGATTAATAGTCTAATAAACAGAATTATAAATAAAGCCTTATTATTATTACTATAGGAGCCCTTCCTTTTAGGATATATATTATTTCTTAACCTAGCCACAGAGCTAGGTCTCTACAGCTATCTCTAGCTAGTCTTACATCTACCATTATGCCTTTTTATATCCTCCTTACTATCGCCACCTATTCTACGCAGAAGACAGGATATCTAGCCTCCTAGTCCTTTATATTAACACCCCCTTAATCAACCGGCTATTATCTCCTATTAATCCTAGGACCCCCACTACGCCCTCTTAAAGCAGCTGCTGTTACGTTAAAAGGGGCTGCTAACAGACATAATCGCGCTTACTACTAGTATCTAATTCAAAAAGTACCACATCATAAGCCACAAGCGCTTCCACTACTTCTACCCTTATAAGGCTAAATCTCTAAGGAAGACGCTCTACATAGCACGCTATTACCTTAGCTTGTCCCTTACTAAGGTCATAACTATTAAGGACACCTTAATACGTAAAGAACCTACTCTTTAGACGCTAGCTAAAATAAACAGCTTACTCTATATAATATTTACCTAGTTATATAAGTTAGCAACTAGAAAGTAGCAGGAGTTAGTATTAGGCTAAGAGATAAGGGCTAGTTAACTCTCTTTTATAAGTATTTTAAAGGTTTAGTAGCACTAAAGGGTAAAAAAAGACTATAGTAAATTAAATTAATTTATATCTAAAGTATTATAGACTAACTAGATAAAGTAAAGCAGCTTTATATAAAAAGAAGATAATACTTATCTACTATAGCTATCCTTTATCCTTCCTCCTGCTGCTCTATATACTTACTTTACGCTTTATATCCTACTAGCTCTTTAGAACAAATACTTAAGCACTATACAGGTTAGTCCTATTATTATCCTACGTCCAGCGGCTAAAGACAAGGCCCGCCAGCAGCTGTCTATCAGGCCACTTGTTCTCAGCGCGGGCGACCGCAGCTGCAAAGCCCTCTTTGCGCTCCGCGACGCGTTTTCTCACATCCCTGGCCTCAAAAACCAGCTGAAGCTCCGTAGCGGCCGTGTCGCTAACCATGCCCCGCAGGGCTGGGAAGACGGGCCGCTTGCGCCTACACCGCCAGCCGCCACAATTCGCTGCTGTCAAATCGGTAAGGGAATCAGCCAGCTGCCGCTTAGCAAGCTCTGCTTAGTGCAGCAGACACAGACCCACAGCGACATAGTCGCGCAGGATACAAAGCCAAGGGGCAGCAACAAAGGGCGCCCTATTGTTATCTTTAAGGAGTAACTGCAACCTAAACTTAAGCCCTAGGTTATTAGCTGTTACTAATTTAATAAACGTAATAGCGCTATCTACTATGTTAATAGCTTTAGTGAGTGTTAGTATTACAGGGATTACGATTATAAAGTAGTAATAGTTTAACTAACTACTAGTTACTTATAAAGATAATAATAGGAAAAAGAAGAAAAAGTTATTACTATAGATATTTATAGTAGTATAAGTAAGCCACTAAGGTAAGTTATATAATTATAAATTATATAACTATAGATTAGCTTTACTATTAAATAGCTAAATATCCTAATACTAGTAACTTTTTAAAGTAAAAGTGATGCATTAAAGTCCTTGGGAGTAGCACGTCCTATAAGAAGATGCACCTATTGGTCTTGGGTTCTGGAAGAGGTAAAGCTGAGATCCGAAATTTATCGTCATATTATTGAGAAACTCGGCGGAGGCCTTACATCTGCGCAGTAGTCGAAAGGGGAATCATCCT